TCAGATAAAATGAGTATTTCCCAATCACATTTTTAAAAAACTGTTTAAATGCAGCAACCACCGTTAGCAACTTTAATATGTTTTTACATCTAAGAATTTGGGGTGTCAGTCCGACAGACTCCGGAATGGTAGATTTACACACAAACAGAGCTTTCTCTGAGCTAAATGCCGTTAGTCATCCTAACCCCAGCTATGAAGGCAAAATGCCCTCACTCTCATAAACAGGAAATAAGTGGGTTTGCCACATCAGAGCTGGCTCTGTAACTCTTCTCCCTGGTGAGAAGGTGTATCATGGACACATACTTTCCCGGGGGGCGGGGAGTAGGGGGCGCGATTCGTTCCAAAGAGCAAATTTGCATCTAAGTGGCTTCTGGTAGTTTGAGATGCCGCACTACTCATACATCAATTTAAAAAGAGAGTGACTCAAAAGTGATGAGGGATTAAAAAAAGAACCTCAGGCTGCAATTACCTTCATCATCGGGTAAGCATTTGCTGGGTTGATAGTGTCTAAGTGAGAGCAGGGACGTAGGTCTTTTCTATTTTGTCTCCTGTGAAATAAACCCCCAATCCTAACGACGCAGTCTTAATAGCTGTTTATAGATGGAAACTACGTTAATGGCACAACAAGTTCAGTGCTCACAGCAAGACTTAGTTCAGGAACCCCATGCCCGATGAAAAGCTTTGGGAATTTTTCAAAAGATGGCATACACTAGAAAAGGGATTTTCCTACTTAAATCACCAAAACAGCATTAATGGGAGCTCAGAGTAAACAGGGCTGGCGCTTCCAATCCCTTCAATGCTTGCCTTGTTGGCTTAAAAATAACACCCGCCTCTTTGGGGAATTCCAGTGGCAAAATTAAATCTCTCTATAAAAAGTCTTTACAGATGATATTTCCGACCAAGTCAAACACAGCCCATGGACATTTCCTCTCTCTACAGTGGATGCTGGGACAGAAATTCAAACCCTTAAAGGTAAGAATCAAATGGTCATTCATTTCTAGGGAAACACAGGAATTTAATAGAGCAAAGCCAGTGACTGCCGGAAGTTCTTCGCTCCTCAGTGCACTTGATTTGCCAGATGGGACAGTGTCTCCTGAGGAACGAATGAGTTCGGCTAACAAGTCAACTGGCTGTATTCTAAGACACTTAGGATAGTGGAGCAGGTTCGGGGCATATAACCCCTAATGCAAAGACTGACAACATACAAGCACAATAGCTACAATTTACCGACGATTTTACACATTATCTCATTTAATCCTCAAAATCTTGGCACAGAAGGGTTCAGAAACGGTAGGTCCTTTGCTCAGGTTCAGCCCCACCTTGAGACTAACCGCCACAGGGACAGTGTGACGAATGCTGTTAACAGAGCCTGCAATACCCTAGCCCTCCTGAAGGAGGCTCTCTGACAGCAGGCCCCAGGGATGGGCATGTGCACAAGCTCATCAGGTAAGTCATACACTCCACAAAATATGAAGACCATTGTCCTAAACGTTACATATGTTGATGAGTCTCTAATCCCAGTAGAATGCTTCTTTTCTAGAAAAGCACAGAACCTGAACAGCAACCCTGGCTCCTTGGGACTTGCCACTGTGGCCAAGATTTCTTCCAGTCAAACATATAAATAATGAGAGTGCTGTTTTGGTCACACCTAGTTAAGAGACTAAAGCTAGCAAATACTAATTTCTGGACACCTGACCAAGCCAAAAATAGACCATAGCCTTGAATTCCATGTAGCTTATTCCCAGGGCCTTACACATTTTAAGCATCCAGTAGGGGGGACAGTAAATAGTCCACTTAGTCAAGATAACACCCAAAATGACTGCTTAGGGCTTCTTCTTCCTCTGTATAAAAAATAGGGCTTCTCTTCCAGAGAGCCAACTGTTTGGTTTTCATTAATAGGCAGAGGATTGGCCTCTCTGGAAAACAAAATGGGAAAGCCTTCCTTCTTTTCAAGTACAATCGGCCCTCCCCATCCCTGGGTTTCCCATGGCTGGATTCAACCGACTACAGATTGAAAACACTGGGAAAAAAGTTACATCGTTGCTGACATAGACTGTGTACTTAGGCCTATGAGGGCTGCGTCTGTACTGAACGTGTACAGACCTTTTCTTGTCATTTTCCCTAAACGATACAGCGTAATGACTGTTTACATAGCATTTACAGTGTACCAGGTATTACCACCAGTTATCTAGAGATGAGTTAAAGGATGCGGGAGGATGTGTGTAGGTAATATGCAAATACTGTGCCATTTGATGTAAGTGACTTGAGCATCCTTGGACTTCGGTTTCCAAAAGGGTCCTGGAACCAATCCCCCACGTATACAGCTGTCCCAGCATGCCTTCTGGTGCTGCCCAGGGAACCTGAAATCTAGGGAGAGGCAGACTCTGAAATGACCCCTCTTGAGTATAACTCAAAGTGATATGAAAAATTGTTTTTCAAACTCATTTAAATTATTTTATTTAATTTTTATCTTTTTTTTTTTAAGCAAGAAATGAGATTGCTGTTTTCTAATTCATCACCAAAGCAAATCGAAGTCGTTTTTAATGAAGCGTCAGGCCATACAGGAGAGGCACAGGAGAGGGAGGAGGGGAATCAGAATTTCAAAATTCCTGCCATGTAAGGAGCAGTGATGACGTGGATCCCCTCAAACCTGCCAGCGACCCATGAGGGCGGGTGTGGGAGCCTCATCTGGGTGAGAAACTGAGGCTTGGTGTCTTTCTCTGGGCTCCCCAGAAGCAGAGTCGGAGCCTAGGATGTGGGTGCGGTTTATGTGGCAGGTGACCCCAAGAAGCCCAAGAGAAGGAGGAGGGAAGGTGAGGGAATGTGTGAAACCTGCCAAGTGCAAAGGGGGCTCAATCCCACGGTGCCGTCTGAAGAACTGTGTCTCCACAGGAGACACGGAAGCCCACGCCTGCCTGGCCGAGGGCTGCCCCCAAGGTCACATGTCCTGGAAAGGTCAGGCTAGGACTCGGACCCAGGTCTGACCCAAAGCCTGAGAGTTTGTCACCACACCGCCCCGTCTCTTCATTTCCACAAACACGGGGTTCCCATACAATCGTGGTATCACGCACACATGACACTCATCCTCATTTCTCTCTCTTCTCTTTCAATCTCTCACCTACCTACCCCTTATTTTCTCTTCCACTAATCTTAAAAGTGGACGGACTTCCTTCTAAAATGTTCACTCACGGGCATTTAACTTCCCTCGTCAGTTATGCAACTGCTTCAAAAAGAAAATAAATAAATTCCACATTTGCAAAGTGTTTGGGGAAGCAGTCCACAAGCACATTACTATGGGACAGTAAAGGGGCCAGACGGTAACAGCCAGGCACTCCCTGGAGAGGGGAGAGAATGATTCACCCCACGGAGCGCAGAGCACGCAGGCTCCCCCGAACCCCCCGAGTGGTCAGTGGTCAGTGGCTCCCTCCTGGCTGGCGGGAAGCAGCTTCCAGGGAAGGACCAGCAGAGGTGGGCACCACAGTTGCAGAGGGACCCGCAGGAAGAGCAGCTGTGGACAAGCAGTGCCACGCTCCGGCGAGGCCACCTGCACACACAGACGTGGCCCCCTTAAGTTATAAAAGCTGACACTGTCAGAACGGCTCCCTGGGATGAGTCGTGTCATAGCTGTCTAACACATCCGGGACCTCCTCTTTATTCTGCTTCCTTGCAAAAAAAAAAAAAAGTGGTAAACAAGCTTAGCTGACCTGCTTGATTCTTACTATCAAAAAAAAAAAAAAGAGGTAAATTTGCTCTCTTTGCTGCTTTCTATAGAAATTCATCCCAGCAAGTACCAAAGTGTAATGACTCCACAGTGATTTCTCACTGTGATAAAATACATAGAGATATAACGGGCAGGAATGGATCCCACAAGGACAATGAGCCCAGCGAGGGGACATAGGTGTGTGTTATGGGCAACACTCAGGCCTACGACGCAGCCCGGGATAGCTGAATGATGGCCCTCGTAGAACCAAGCAACTAATTAGTTCCGTCGTCATTTTTGCTTTACGACATCCACTTTTACATGCCAATAGCCAATTTCACGGTATTTTAAATTGGAGAGAAGAGGAGGAAGCGCTATGTACCGTACGGAATCACAAATCTTACAATCTGATTTTTTTCATTCCAAAAATGACCTCATAAACTCGCTTTATAATTAAATCTATCCTGACAACTCCCCTTTTGTGTGTTTCATTCACTTTGGGTAATCATGCAGAGATTCCAATTGGAAATCCGCTATCATTGTAATTAAGTATAAAAATTACTTTGTGAGCTTGCAGGATGAAGACCCTGTGCTCCATCTCCTACCGGGGCTTCACCAGCTTCCTCTAGGGGCACAGAGAGAAACTGCAGGTTTTCAGTATTAGCTGGAGTCCCTTATTTACTTCACTGCAAAGTCTCAAATATGGATGAGTGATAAGCTCAGAAATTCAAACCTTCGAATGATTTCCTCACATGGAAATTTTACCTTTAGAAAAATAAATTGGCAAACATACAATTTTTCATTTTGGGGCCTTTACAAAATGTTAAAATTCATGACCTACAGTAAAAGCTTGCAGTTTACTGAGAAAGTATTTCGCAAAAGAGGTAAAGAATTGAATTGCATCAACTATTCTAAGGCTCAATAGAATACTGCAAAATGTTTTTGTCTTTGACTCAACTGAATAGAAAATCAACTCTGGCACTTATGTTGGCTTTCACCTACCTTTAATCACAAAGCAAGTACAATACTAAACATCATGGATGATTTTTAAAAGATTCTGCAATTTCAAAGAATGTGTTCATTATACGAAATTATTTTCTATTTTCATGAAAGTGCTTTAATTACTCAAATGCATGGAATTTTGATCAAGTCTACTTGGTTGGCATCTGTGTTTTCCTAATAAATGAAAAAAAAATGCTTTGAATAGCTTAAATAACCTAAGTTTGCTAGCAAAACAATAACCTACAAATTTTAGCTGTTGATACCAGCAGTTAAGAAAGAAAGAAAGAACAAAGCTTACCATTTGCTGTATTCTTTTTAAAGTTATCCAGGAATTCCTCCAGAAGTTGGGACTGGTTAGGAGGAGGTAGCAGACTCTTCTGGTCCCTTGAGAACAGGTCACTATCTGACCAGGAAGTACACAGGGTTCCCTTTGTGTCAGGTGGCCGGGCAATCAGAGTGAGCCCAACACTCTTCTCAGAAAACAGGGCCTCCATCTGCTTAAGGTCAAGATCAGACACAGCTTCCCCATTTAAGGTCATGATTTCGTTGCCCTTTCTCAGCCCTAGAATGAGGAAGGGGAAACAGAGGAGGAAAAGAGAGAAAGAGATCACTGAGAGAAACTTTGCAAGATGAAAGCAGACTGCCAAACTCAGACCATGTACTGTTAGGGGCTGTTCTGTCACTATCTTTGAAGAAAAGTGCCAACACGTATTTAGATGCCACTGATAACAAAACAAATTTCAGCTCCCTTTAGGATTAGAAAGAACAGCCTGAAAGGGAAACAATTCGAGAGCCATTCGAGCGAACTGTCCTTCTATGTATCTGATGTAAAAGTCCTGGGAAATTCCATCTCTTTTATCTGTCTGTCTGCCTGTCTGGCTCTCACACTCTTGTCTCCATCCATCCGTATAATATGCACGCGTGCTCTCTCTGCGTACGGACAACTCAAACCACACACACACCAACATTCTCTATGTTTATGCATATGTACTGTCAATTAAACTCTGAAGTTTACTTTCTTTAACATTCTAGGAGAAACCGTTTTCTGACAAAACGGCAAGAAGAAAATTTCGCTAGCCAGACCGCATTCCACAGATTTGAATCAAGAGAGAAAACAGGCAGCCCGGGCCACACGGACCTTCCCCGTACGCCAAGCCATGAGGGAGAACATCGCTGACAAATATGCGGCTGAGATGCTGGTGCCCATCCACCTGTGCTGTCACTGCAAAGCCTAGGAGTAAAAACAAAAGGGAAACACAAGTCTAAATGCGGCACATGAATTTCTTCAACTTCATCTGCAGTATTTTCTCAAACATCTAGTCCCATCAGTACAGTACGTTGAGAAAGTCTAAGTTACAATGATTTCGAAAGCACAAATATCTAGCAGGATCAGAAAAAGAGGAACGTGTAAGGACGAAAGGTTTGAGAAATATGAGTGCACGACCTTAGTCAAAAATTGTGACCGTATACCGGTATTCACAGCAGCATCATGCACAATAGCCAAAAGGCAGAAGCAACCCAACCGTCCATCCACAGATGAATGCGTAAATAAATGTGGTACATCCATACGATGGAACATTATTCACTCTTAAAAACGGAAGGAAATTCTGACGCATGCTACAGCCAGGATAAACCTTGAGGACATTTTTATGCTCTGTGCAATAAGCCAGTCACGAAAGAACAAATACTGTATGAGTCTACTTAGCTGAGGTACCTAGAGTGGTCAAATTCACAGAGACAGAAAGTGGAATGGGGGCCGCCGAGGGTGGGGGACGGGGAGGACAAACAGGAGGGACGTTTGATGGGTACAAAACTGCAGTTTTGAGAGAAAGAAACAGTCCTGGAGGTGGGTGGTGGTGATGATTATGCAACCATGTGAATGCACTTAATGCCACTGAACTGTCATTTTTAACCAGTCGCATAAATGCTTACGATGGCAAACTTTACGTTATGTGTATTTTGCCACAATTTACATTTTTCTGAATTTTTTTTTAAAAAGTCAAGACCAAAAAATACTCACAATTATTGCAATAAAAGTCAGTTCGACAAAAATCAACATTTGTTAAGAAACAACTCCATTTGGGGCTGGGCATTTTAAGAAGCTAGAAAAATACTTGGATAGACATAGTGCTTGCCCTAAATACGACTACACATCCATCCAGCCCAGGGGACACTTCCCTTCTCTAAACGCATCTCCCTAACTTGGAGAGTGCCAACCTCTCTGACTCCACAGGCAGGAGGGAGCACAGGCTCCAGGCTCCATGTGGTGGTCCGGTAATACTGGAAGTCCTTTGCCTTAGGAAGAGTGGCATATCCTGACCCGCCCCATTTCCTCACTGCCTCAGGCAGAGCCTGGGAGACTGCAGTCAGCAGAAAGTACCTTTGCAACTATGTTCATTCAGTCCTTCAGTCACGCAAGGACAAAGAAGATTGACAAAGAGCCACCACGGAAAGTAGAGTGATGTGAAGGCCAACAGAAACATAGACAAAATGTTAAGAGAGCTTTAAAGGCAAACTCAGCATCTGGGTCAAAACAGATCCCGAAAATTAAGAAACAAAGAACAAATCGTAAAAAGGAAATTTTAACATAATAAACAACGGGTAGAACTTGATCAGCTTGAGTCATTTGAAGAAAAATAATTATGTTAATATATTTAATGCGATAAGAAATAGTCTTTCTAAGGAGATATTCATTGATTATTATCTATTTACGGAGTTCCTATGGTAAAAGACAGAATGAGAGACAGAAATAAACTTTAAGACGTAAGCACAGTCTACGAAGAGGTCAAAGACAAGTTTAAATACAAATAGAAACGCAAGAATTAAATAGGACGAAGTGATTTGAATGGTACTGACCCTTAACTGCTAAACCGAAGCTAAAGCAATCAGATAGGCGGCTCCAAGAAAGTTTGACCTTCAGTTAAGTTCCTGAAGGACAGGTCTAATTTACACAATCAGGGAGGAGGAATGCGGGGAAGGGAGAGCAGCGAAGGGTAGCACTCCAGGTGGGTGAAAATAAGCTCAGAGCAAAGACACTGAGATGAAAAGAACTGTCAGATGAATCATGAGTTCTCAGCCTAGAATACCACCCGGCACACAGTAAATTCACTGTGTCATTATCACCATCATCTCAAATTTCTCATCGACTTTGATTTTTATTCCTTCTAATAACTTTGACATCTTTCCTGATATTAACGCATAACTTCGCTAATATAAATAAATACAAATGAAGCAAGAATAATGAAGTTCAGAAACTATCGCCATCATTTCCGAAAACGTCAACGTAAAGAAAAAAAACTAGGGCCAGGACCGTGGCAAACTAGGCGAGGCTAGATAAGGGGGTCCCTGGGCTCACCGAAGTCAGACACGCCCCCAGTCTTCGTGAGCTGCACATCATACACATTTAGCGGAAAGACTTCTATTTCATCATAAACCTACAAAAGGTAAAAACCACAAAATCAGAGGGTTTGAGGCCATGATCTCTTGGAAATTTATTTTGAATGTTTCCAAACTAGATGCCGAATTTAAACAGAATTGTTCTCCCCAAATTACAGAATTTTGAAAGTAAGAGGCCGCGGATGTGGTTCAGATTTCTGTTTCTAAGGCTACCGCACACTTGCCTGTTCCTGCATGTATTCGTATGGTGCGGGAATACAGTACTCAGTGTTTTCATCTACTGATTTTCGAAGCTGTAGGCCATAGTGGCTGGGTTCCAACTGCCTCATCTATAAGGGAAAAGACAGTTATTTAGAGTCTAAATATTCTTTCTAGATTCATCCTCGTTCATTGAAAATCAAAGTGGAAATATCTAAGAAATACCATATATAAGGTGCTGAGTTTAAACCCACATGAGAGCTCAAACCTAAATGTGCAAAAATAGGAAAGAAGGGACAAATCATTACTTTAAAGACGGTTTTCTCTAAATGATACTGCTTATCACTAAAAGCAAGAGATGTATTTTGAAGAAGTTATGGCAGTATATATCTAATAGAACATATCTTACCATCTCGGCAAACTCTATCTCTTTATACATTGGTTGTACCTAACTTTAAGTTGTTTCCTACTCCTGAAGTAGAGAAATTTGTGAAATATTAACGATCTCATATTCCACAGACTTCAGAATAAGGAATTTCCTACTTGAAAACCTTTTCGAAAGGAAAATGTGTACACAACTCATACACTTGCATGTGTATGTATGCTCTGTCTTTCTCTCTCTGATTTTCAACAGTGAGAAATTATCTCAGATCTGTGCTCTACCTGGGTCTAACTGACCCACTACTTCTGACATGCTCTATCACTTAGAAAATTTATCAATAACTGATATCATCGCTATAAAATGATATCATTGGCTGTTTACTCATAAAATCCTTACATAATAGAGTAAAAGGGAATTAAACTGTTAAGAACATAAGCTACGAATATAAATGTCTGGTATACTGAGGCTTAAACTGACGTGACGAAGGAAGACTAAAGATTACCCATGTCTACTAAGTGCACATAGTAAAGAGTTACCAAACTCTACATGTCTTTTTTACCATTTCATATATTTGCATTTTCTCTGAAAATGTAAACATACTTAAGCTCTACTGCGCCATCTGGTGGTCAAAAACACATCTGATCTGATACTTCTGCGTCTATTTCATCCATTTCAGGGGGCTCTCCTATTAAGTCTTAATAAAGACTTAAGCTACCTTTTCAGAAATAAAACCCAACTTGAATAATGAATAAAATATCTCATCGACTCCATAACACCGCTATGAATGGTGTCAAGTTACTTGCTTCATCTAGAGAAACTCGGTAAAACAATTTAGGATTAAATCAAACCAACATTTAAAAGTTTGTACCACCTTCTGCTACGGCACCATCTCAGTAACTTAAAAAACCACCACCTTCATAATTACTCTAGCTATAAAGGCATATATGTAATTTCAATAAAATAGCTCGGGTTCTTCACAAAGGGTAGGGATATGACCCAACAACTCATACTTCTAAAAGATGAAGAAGAAGAATGCTAATTAACAAATATGTTAACATAAGTTAATGTTTCCTACGGCAGAAAGTGAGGTCTTAAATGCCACACAGATTTAGAAGGCACAGGAGTGCAACATTAATGATTATTTTTGTGCAGAAGCAGATTTCTGCAGCAAAACCCATTACCTTGCATGCCAAAGTCAAAATATCTTCTACTCTGTGCTCTGGCTTGATCGTAACAGACACTTCTTGATTATCCTGAAAATGAACATAAGTCTGGACTTCCCACGTGCTGTCTCGGGGAACACCATCGACGGCTGAACCGTACATATGCAGAAGATCATCAACCTGTTTTCGGATTCAAAAAAGAAAAAAGAAAAAAGAAAGCAGATAAATTTGATTTAAAAATGAGAGAAATTACTCATCGAGCGCCCCTTCATTTACGGCATGTTTTACAGTCAGGCCTTTCACATGCCTCACACCTCAGGCTTCTCACGACCCCTAGGGCAGACAAGCCCCAGTCTTTAACCCACGTGCAACTGAAGCCCAGTGCAGCTGACTGGGAGTCCATTAACTCCTTGCTGTGTTCCAGCCACTAATGCCATTTTGCCTCTTAGCTCAAGTTAGAACACCGTAGTCAATGCATGGACTGCTGGGTATCCAGTCTCACTGCTCCAGAGGTGCAGGCTGATAAGGCCACTGTGAAATCCGCACCTCAGCCGCCACCTCGGTGACTTTCAGATCCACCCTCATCCATGGCTACTGACGCCTGCCTGCGTCCTAACCCTGAGCTGTATTTAATCCAAGCACATTTTTCTTCTCTGTTATTCCTACTTGTTTCTAAAAGTCAACCCCTAAACCTGGCGATTTTTTTTTTTCTATCCTTCAGCTATTTCACATCTAAATATTCTTTTTTAGAAATCATCCCAAAACATGAGCCTTTTCCAAAAAAGCTGAGTTTCCTAAACTTCATCATCACAGTAATTCAATGACCTCATGCTGATATGTACTTCTATAACTTACAAACAAAAATAGTTAACATTTGTTAAGCAACTCAGTAATGTTTTCCTCTGGCTAGGCTCTTCCATGAGTCTGGTAGTAAATATTTGAGGATTTGAAATTAAATAACCTGATGCTCAAGTCACAAACTCTACCACTTACTGGTAAGGAGAGACCTAGAATGGGACATTTACTTTGCTGGGCCTTGTGCCCCATTCCGTGAAAGCAGATAATATTCATATCATCACTTAAGATTATTAGTACAAATTTTTGTGAGCAAAGGAAAGATGTGAAAACGCCTTACACAGCAGAAACTGTTACATACAGATTCAACACTACTCAGTATTATGTCATTGATGAGTGATTTTACTTTCGATTCTATGCATTTAAAAAAAAAAAAAGGTAAAAGATCTTCCTATGTCGGGTTTAAAAACCAGAGTAGATGCTAAAAAGATTATTAGTACAAATTTTTGTGAGCAAAGGAAAGATGTGAAAACGCCTTACACAGCAGAAACTGTTACATACAGATTCAACACTACTCAGTATTATGTCATTGATGAGTGATTTTACTTTCGATTCTATGCATTTAAAAAAAAAAAAAGGTAAAAGATCTTCCTATGTCAGGTTTAAAAACCAGAGGAGATGCTAAAGAAATTAAAAAAACAAAACAAAACAGGTTTAGGCAAAGCAAGGGAAGACCCATCTTTCTTTGTTGTCATTTTTAAATGAGATGCTCGTCTTTGAAGTAACATTTCTGGATTTGTCAAGGGTCTGCCACTTTCTGTACATTTTCCTGGACAGCTGGTCACAGCCCAGGATAAGCAGGAACCTCGTGTGCCTAAACTAAAGAGAAGAAGAGACAGAGGAGCCAAGGACGCAGGGAACCAGCATGACGCCATTCTCTGCTGAAGGCCGTATCTCACCGAGTCACATTTTCTTCTCTGGTTCAGCCTCCCCGGTACTTCATCTGGGCCATACTTTCCACCAGGTGAGGCATCAACAGGCAGGTACTGCCTTAAAGGTGCAGACCCCATCTCTCAAACCACGCTTGCTCAGAATCGAACGAAAACCCAGCAGAGGTCACTGTGGAGTAAGAAACCACACACCAAAACAGGCCAGGAAGAAATCAAACAATCCCGATTTCCTGCTGCAAAGCAGTTTAATTCCACACTAGCAGAACAGGAAAAACGTGACAGGACAGACAGGTGGGGGAGGGACATGAGAAATGCCACAGCTACCCCGCCCTACCTGCCCTCCTGTTCCCATTCCTTGCTGGCAACAGGAGGGAGACTATTACGCAGGGCCAAACGGAATAGGTTTTTCACATGCTGTCAGTTCTCAACCCTCTAACTAACATGTGAGAAAAAGGAAGCTCAGAAAATTCTAGAACCTTGCCCAAACTCACACAGGGAGCTGTGAGTGTGGTACCGTGGGGATCTGAACCCCGGAAACCTGGCTTGAGTCTGTACTCACCACCACTATACTCTATAGAAATATATCAGCCTGGTAGTCGCTTCCACCCTACCCGCCCCCCCACCTCCACTCAGTGCCCTCAAAAGATGCAACCTAACTTTTCCTGATTCCTGTTATTCTGCGATACACATGTGTTCTAGTTGAACAAAATGGCCCACCTGACGTTCTCCACAAAGGAGCGAACCCCATCTTTGCCTCCAGACCCTCATTCAGTTCAGCTTCCCGTGCCGGCTTTACCTTCCCCACAGCTTCGGGGCTGAGCACCTGTTTACACCCTTCAGCCTCGTTTCAAAGGCCACCCCCCATCTTTGTGCCCGCAACCTCTCTGAGGAATCGCTCCTGCGTCTCCCCTTGATTTAAGATGGAGCAAATGACAGAAGAGAAGATGCCTATCGAAGCCAAGGCCAAGGATGATTCAGACCGTCACAAGAGATCCCGCGATGAAAATATCTATGTAAGTTGTTTCTGGGCATCAGACAGACACACACACACTCCCAGAAGTGTATGAAGTAACAGAAACGCAAAACCTGGTGATTCCAAGGAAGCATCAAGAAAGTGGGATTAATTAACTTGAACTTGAGAAAGAAAAGGCTACTTGGTGCTGACGGCTTTCCTAGATCCTGGTCAGCTTTGCCCGATTATACAGAAAATGGGACCGAATCCCTTGCGGGTCAATGCTCCACAATGAAAATTGACATTTTTTTTTTTCAATAAGCCAGATGAAATATTCCCCTACCTTGTTTTTCATAAAAAGAACAGAAGACCTTGAAAATAAGCACAACAAACTCGGCCATCTGGAGACCTCTCTTCCCGGCTAACTTTCAAAGGTGCTACATTAAACAAATCTTTAAGTCCATAGTTGGCTACCTCTAAGATTGCTGCAAACCCAGCCTGCCTCCCACTGCACCTGTCTCTCCCCCTGAAAATCAGTTTCCCATTAGCCCATTCTAGGTTGCCGGTTCCTATGTAAATGGAAATGGTAAAAATGTAATGGGTAATCTGGGTCCCATCCCAGCCCTGTTGGGATGGGTATCTAATGTCCTTTGGCTTCAGTTTCTTTACCTTTAAAGATGGCTAAGAAACACCAGCCTCACAGGGAGGCTGGGGACTGGTGTGAGGAATGGCATTTCAAGGTACATAAACCATAAAGAGCCATAAGAAGGTTAAAAAAAAAAAAAAAAAAACTTTTTCGAAGTTCAGTCTGTATATTGGTGGCAGTATATTGTAGTCGGCTTGACCACCGTGATTTAATCGTCTATAAAGATCTATGAAGACCTGCATGAGAATCACCCCTTGTTTAAAAACCCGGGGGGACTGTGGTGGCAACTGACGCTCAGATCACCGTGCGGTCTGGATCCGGCCATCCACGAAACGGGAGCGTCATCACTGACCGGTAGCTCTGGCTTTTGCAGACTAACCAGTTAAGGTTTACAAATCACGTTAGCCTCCTGGCACGGCCACTTCCACAGAAGCATTTATTATTATTATTACATTAATGGTCTTGGAGGCACATGTCAAATTACTTCTGCTCCGAGCGCTTCCAGGAGAGAAAATTGAAACTCTGTGTGTTCTCACAGCAGATGCTCCCGGATCAAATGGCTTGTAATTACTACTTGGATCACTGAAGGGAAGTGAGTAGTGAAATCACAGTCTGGCTGTCACAAATGGGCCCGCACCACCACGTTGCTGATAAAGGCAAAGTCTATTAGCAAGTGAGATGAGGAGAAAACAAAGGACTCAGTGCTCCGGGTTTTCTTAACAAGAAAATGTCAGAGAGGAGAAAGTGTTTATTTCCTTCTTGGGCTGATGCCTAAACATCAGTTGATACCAAAGGAGAGCAATGACCTATGTGTGTGTGTGTGACTGTCTGTCTGCCTGTCTGTCTTCGTAGGTAGGTTATCTAGGGTTCCAAACCAATATTCTATTTAAACGAACTACTGCTACAGTCAAAAGTGCTTTTCATTCATATTTTCCATTTTAAAAACCAACGTTAGCGTTTTTTTCCCCCACTTTGGAGCTAATGACTAATGCGACAATACTTCATTCACTTGCTGCCACAGAACGCTGGGACACCCCAAACCAATTTTCCAGGAGAGAGAGCCAAGGCCCAGGGGCTCCAGTTTCTGCTATGAAGCTTCTGGAGTAGCTGCCTGTTCTGAGCCTCCGTCCAGAATTTGTTGTCAATCTCCATAACAAATACCTCCCTTCAAATCCTGACTGAGACTCATTATTACTCATCAATAAGCACCTATGAAAAGCTTTCCTTTTGGGCTAGCCAAAGCGTCCTCTGAAAAAATGCTCACATAAGACTGGCTTTATTCCAATCCTAACAGATTTTAAATTGGGGTGACTCACTGTTGAACTGTTACATGATGCACCAATTAGAGTGGAATATTTTTAAATGCCTGTGACCCCCCCATCCCCCGCACCCCAATGCTCAGGAATGACTGCCTTTCTGTGTTACACTAATAGAGATAATATACTGACGGTATATAAATGGTTTGTGAAAGTTATAAATATTCCCCAAGAATAATTAGCAGAGGAAAACTAGTGAAATGTAATATTAATTATTCAACCAGCTACCAGGCAAAATTTTAAGTCTCAGAGACAGAAAAAACAAATGCCCTCAATTCTATCTGCAACTCAATTTAAAACTAGTTATCTGAGTCCTGCAGTACAGAAATGATAAACATACCATTAAAACAGCCCTATAAGTCAAAGGAATTTCTTCAGTTTCCCAGACCAGAAGCAATGCTTAAAATAACTAGAGATAATTGTTTAAATACCTATGCTTTAAAAAACAGATGCAATAATATTTTCCTCTCATCCGTTATAGTACCAAGGGGACTTGTCGATTAAATCACAAGAAGACCTTTTGGTAATTTGAGCCCAACTTAAATAATTAATTCTAACTATTAATGGCTATTTTAGCAAAATTCATTTTCAAAGTCCAACCTAAGTCCTGTTAATAGAAAGTGCTTTGATGATATAATTTCTTAACGTTCAAAGAATTTTAAATTGTTGTTTAATGTTGGGAGAGATAAAATCTTAAAATTATGGGATTTTATTGCAGATTAAATAGTGTTTCTCAAACATTAAAGAACTACATCTAATATAGACAGCTGATAGGCAAATTGACTAAGCAAGACCATATCCTTAGCAGTATGCTAAGGATGGAGAATATATACACAATCATAAGATCTATATAAACTATACCGAGCAAAGGTCCTGATTACAAGCTTGCCTGGGAGACACGATATAGATACTTGTCGGAATGACTGCCAGAGAAAAGTAGTATAAAGAACCAAGCAAATAGCAGTGACACCATCTTTTTAGAAAATCAACTAAAATTCCAGGAGAACAGTGCGATTTGATCTGGATTTTGACACAGGCTCTGAGAGTATACAGAATAAAGTCTGCTATTTTAATGCTATGATTTGTAAATAGGAAGATCTGGATATGGCTTCCCTGTGCTCCCTTGGTTGTCCAGATCTAGCCAAAGGAGAGAAAAAGAACAGACGAGAACAATGCCAGCGACACGGCCTGCTGGCACAAATCCATCACATACGCTGCCCCTCAGCCCCTGACTCTGAGGGTGGGTGAGAAAGGGACTGGGTTTTGAGCGGAGGTTTTCTACCCCAGTTCAGGACATCTCAGCTGCCACCTGGGAGCAGTTTCAACAGTAACCACGGCACACTGAGCAGCTTGGGGCCCACGGTAAGGGCCAGACTCACGTGAAGGCAGACTAGGTGGCTGTCTATATTGTCTATTTTAGGATAACCAGAGAGTCCCCCACTCAAAGTCCGTAGCACATGTCACACTGTCTAATGCACTCCATCATTCCTCAGTTTTTTCAAACTAAATTCCCAATTCACTGAATTATACCAATTAATTTATTATAAATACTGCCTGCTTCTGTAAAAGCATATTAAGCTTATCCAAGCCTATTAAAATCAGGTTTTAACCTCCATAAATAGTTTAGAGGTTTGTTGGACATAAAATCCAAGATAAAATGATTTGGCAAAGAAGGTAGGGTAACCAATCAGTAACAGGAAACATAGCTTCGCGGGTAAGGTGTAGCTTTGAAAAAAGACACAAAGAAGCAGCATAAACCCATCCAGATAATCTTCCCCTTACTCCAGAATTCCATTCCTCAGAAATAGATCTGACAATGTGTTTGGTCAGAAGCGATTCTGGTGACCGAAGGGGACCCTGTACTCAGCTCCACCGAGGACACCTGGAGATCCAAAGGCTGCTAAGTTGACAGCATGGATCTGTGTGATGACCCCTGACAATCCTAAGAGGAAAACACAATTTTGAATTCACTAAACTCTCAAATAAGGGTAAGTACTGTTGAGGAATAGGGAAGAATAAATGAAAGCTGCTATTTTGACTTCAGTCATTCTGCTTTTAAGACGGAGTTATCATGAGTTTAGATACCTTCAAAAATACTTGGCATTCCTAGAAATCTCTTATTTACCTACCAGGGGCCACGTTAATTCTAAATTTATTTTCGACAGATTCATATAAAGTTTCTGAACTAGCACTGCCCGCTTAACTCAGCTTCTGGGTCATAGGTGTGAAACAGGATGGCTGCCATCTATGGCAATGTTTACCTTGCTGGAGTTATTGGGGTTTTGAGGTAGCTGAGTTCCAGAAAATCCATGGCTGCCACTTGAATCAAATATCTGATAGATGGGCTGAAAACAGACCAATGAAATAGCTCTGCGAGGTTCATTTGGCAGGCTACCTTCTTCGGTACTGAAAAGTTTAAGTTCTATAACATTTTATAAGGTTTTCATATCACAATTTGTACTATTTACTACTCTACCACATTCAAAGTTTTAACTTTAAAGAAAAAGTTGCTTTTTTTTTTCTTTCCCATATGGTTCCATATTTTACTGTTCTACGATGTCATTCTCTAAGTCATCTGGGATCTTCCCGATGTCACTTTTAACAAGAAGTGCGATTTCTAAAGATATGGAACAGAGCTCAAAGTTGAGTTGGCAAAGCTACTAAAATCAAGCTTATAACTATATATTAAATGTGCATGTAATAAATTTTGAGAAGAAATAGTTAAATATTAAAAGTGGTTGTGTTTTAGTAGAGAAACTAGGAGTAATTTCCTGTGTTTTTTTTCTAATTTTTATCTTCTAGATTTTGTAGCAGAATAATAAACATTAAAGAATAGGTCATTTAAACATTAATGGAGACCTACTATATCAACTTTATTCAGTTATAAATATCAACGCTATAATTAATTTCATTTCTTTTTTAAAAAAGTGTTCAAACAAATGCTTTTGTTGAACAAGAAATCTTATGTTAAGAACTTTTAGCACATATGATGGGGTAAAGACCATCTTAAGCTCATATCTAATTAGCTAAATGTCAACATCTAAGAAAAATAAGCAAGTTATCAAATTATTTATTATGATGATTTAAATATATTGAATTGACTGCCTTGATTAAAATCAAAATTTGCCCCAAAGACCTTATTTAAGTTTCATATTAGTTCAATTAAAAAATATAAGCCCAACATTAGCCAATGGTTTATAGTTGACTACAATGAAGAAATACATTTTCACTTATAACCAACAATGACTTTTTACAATTAAAGTACAAGTAGAGCCATAATTTTAAAATATGATATTCTTTCTGATTATATACGAATATACAAAAACAGTGGCCACATAAAAGCATTTTCATGTGTTTCTGGTGTCTTTCAATCGACCAACCCACTCCCTATCACCTCCACCTTTATTGTTCCAAAATTATAAGCAGGTCAAAGAAGCCGATACTATCTCTGTTATTCACTAACGCACAAAACTGTTAGACACGATCAAATGAATATCTACGTAAAAATTAGAAAATAAAGTTCCATAAAATATGACCCTCCCTTCCAGATGACATTGAAAGCATATTTGGATAATAGCCACCTGTTAAAAATAAAAACAAGGACTTCTTCGGACTTAATCACAAACATTTTCCCTATTCACTTCCATAATCAGATCGTCATATGATAACTCACCTTTCAATAGTCTCTGAAAAAGTAATAAATCTAAAACATCTCAATCGGCCACATAAAATTCATGATCACATACTGTATTCATGGTGTTAGGAAATACTTCAGATGTGAATATTCAAAAAGTTCTGAAAACAATTCACGGTACGTGGGCCACATTTCAACAATCAGTGCTCAGGCTATTTTTACTTGATGGAATGTTAAAACGGCCACCCTCCCTCAGGGAATTCAACAGCAGCCATAGCCCAGCCTTTCGGGGCTTCAAATCCAGGTAGACCCAGTCCCAGCCCAGCCCTTCAGGTGCTGTGTGAACAGGGGTAAGGACGCGCCTTACGTAACCTCCCCAGGTTTCAGGCTCCTCATCTGTACAATGCGATGACCAAATGCCTACTTCGTGTCACAGAGATTAAGTGAGCCAAGTGTCTGATAGAATTTAGCTGCGGTAACTCTGATTATAATTAATTTTACACATTTATTTTAAGACGATATCTATAGGGAAAATAAATATTAGTAGGAAAGGTAATGAAAAGTGTGGATTCTTCTCTGGGTGTTATTTTTGTGTTCCTAAGCACGCCGGATGTGAGCAAGCTGTCAATGCCTCTTTTTGGGAGTGTCGAAAAGAGAATGAGCAACGTGTGTATATCATTTGGGAAAAACGTCCATGCTAAGACTGCGTTCCTTTGAACCAACTTTTATGTCATTCTTAACGGACGATGAACATTTATGACGTGCAGCAACGAGGGTTTCTCTCTCGGTCCGCTGTCCCCCGCACGCGGAGACATTCACCTGAGTTATAGAAGATCTCTTCTCCTTCCCTTTTCTTGCCAGTGTGTCCAGACCTTTTAACGAAGAAAATATGCCCTTCTTGTTTCTCCCCCGCTGGGTCAGTGACAATGTTCTCTTCCGGAAAGCAGAGTCGTCTCTAGAACACACCTAATTTACAACACAGTTTTAGAAAGTCTTAACGTACATTATTTGGGCGACAGACGGGATTGACTGTTGCCCTAACAGAAGTGAGCCCTGCTTGCTATCAATGCGTCCTGACCAGTCCCCAAAGCTACCGGACACACCGGAAATGGATCCATCACAGAGATATCTCTCATCTGGAGAACACAGGCCCGGTTACAACATTCACACCCTTATTACCACCCTTTAGGAATGCCACCCTCCTGACTGTACGAGGTGGGACAGACAGAAAGGCAAATGCACATGTGAATATTGAATAGCTGTCTACTAGCTGCAGCTGGATTCCTAAAATAAGCAGCAGAGAAGCCCGGGCTCTTTATGGCAAGGCGTCCCCAACCCTCCATCCCCAGGTGCCCAGTCCCCAGTTACTGGGTTAAGTCACAGGAGCACTGAAGTTAATAAGCCAGACAAAGGAGAGGGCGGTCCACCTTGAATGCTGCAGAAACAGCCTCCTTAGGGAACTTACCAGAGCATGGAAAGAGGAAACCGACAAGACGCCCAACCTGCCCAGGGCCAGCTTGGAGGGGCGACTGGTGGCGGCAAGCAGGCTCTTGGGGTTCGGCAGCTCCCCACCTTGTAGGCTGGCCAGATAGCAGCGCATCCGGAATAGATCCATGTGAAATTTCTCCAGGTTCTGCTCCCACTGCTGGATCTGTTTAAGCAAGAATAGGGATAATTTAAATAAAAATGAGAAGTGTTCATAGGTCAAATTGAAAACGTGATCCCATTCATGAACTTGAGGGAAAAATTCATTTCAGCTGGTGTGGCACAGCTGCAATCAGCCTGCCCTGCTCACCCTGGCTCAAGCCCTCCCGCCAAAACACACTGGGTCAGACAGCGGTGTGCTTCGTCAGGATGGCCAGAAGCAAAACGAAGCTGGTGATCCCTACAGTGCCTTGTCAAAACGGCATGACCTTTGCAGAATGCCAGCGCTCGCGATCACGCTGACTTAAGGCACTTACACAATTGTAAACCAGTTATTTCATTCTTGTTTCATTTCTCTTCACATTTACAGCCATCTGATCTTAAACCAGATTCACTGAATGTCACACAAACAGATGCTAGATAGATAGAGACTGTGACTTTACATTTCTGTATTCTGAGTAAATAACTCGCAATAAGAAAAAGCAAATGGGGTAAGGACAGACAGAGCTCTTACTCCTACCGCAAGCATCTTAGAGAATAAGCACCAGCTACACGCCTAAATACAATTAGAACACATATAATTATTTATATAGAGAAATTTCTCTGTACTTCTTCAAAACTGAAGTCATGAGTTGGTAAAGAAATATGGTCAAACTCAGGGGGCTGCTCTCCTTTCTTCCAGGGATGTCAAAGTGTGTGATGTGTAAGTATCACCTTCATTTAAAGATAAACTAACAGGTGAAGAAGCCTCTAGTAACTTGTCGGAACAGGGACTCAATAGCAGAACAGAAAGCTGGGCTTCACATGGTGCTGAGAGCAACCTCAAGATTCAAGAGAAGGTCTGCAGTAAAGGGTCGTAATAAAGATTCAGGACAAGAGTTGTCTTCTCATTTACAACAACGGCACCCCTGGTTTTGCCATGTTTAGCACCCAATCAGATCCGAAGCTTGCCCAGGAAACTTTCCAGGTCAATCCTTAATCTGGATAAATATGCTATTTTGAAGGACCCCCAACATTTAACACTATGTTCCCCTCGGTTTCTCCTAGAGAAAAACAATACCAATTCTGGGTATTCCCCAGACCCCTCCAAGTTCTCCATCTCTATTTCTTACTGTACAAATTGTCTCTGTGAAAGAAATAAGATGGCTGCAAGATCTAAACAACCTGCTGATGCATCATTGTTGGTCAGCAAAACAAATTCCCAGCATGTACTGAAAATTTCAATCTCCGTAGTGATTTTAACCTCATTTTAGATTCTGTCACCTCTTAACTGGTGAGGTAATCTACCCCTGCTGGTGTCGGCCTTGACTGAATACCAGAATGACCAGAATAGATGCCCAGGTCCTTCGCCTGAAGATTCTACCGGTTAGCTGTGAGGTCGGGGAAGGTTACATTCTGAAAGCATCTCCACCAATTCAGGCTCATCATAGCCTGAGTGAGGATCGCTCTTTTAAACGAACAAGACACGTCAAACTGAAACTGCACACCTCTTGCCACGTTAGAGAATTCTAGATTCCAGAAGTAATGGGTGGGTATTATGTAACCATAAACTGACACCTCCCCGAAGCTAGAGGGCACAGTGAAAACTACTCGTCTGTCTCACAAATATCTTCTCTGATTTCCCGAAAATCTATAATTATGGACGCATTCTTTTGTCTTAAAATAGTGTAGATATTTCGGAATTAGCTAGTGTGTTAAAGCTTATTCCTCATTTATTCCTCCATGTGAAATGGCTTATGAGACACTTCCTAGAGCTTCTGGGGTGGAGGCATGAGTCACCAGATGCTGGGAGATAAAGAAGCCCATGCCATTCACAGTGGCTTAAGAAGACAAAAGATATAAAATAAATTCTAAGTCTATGCCAATCCCTGTAGATCAGGGAAGACAACAATCTCTTCTAGTTTCACTGAATTGTACAGGTTACAAAGTGTTTTTAAAGGCATCGTTTAACATATTTACGTGAATACCTTCCAATTGGAAGGTATAAACAGTTCATCTTAAAACAGGGAATCATCAAATTTTGTCAGAAACACTGTGATAACCTTCAGCACACCTATACCTCTCCACCTAAAATCTGAGACAAATGCGTTCATGGGAATTCATAGTGAATTCATGGGAAGAACATGGATCCAGATGCTTAGGGTCACTGGAGGGAAAACGAACAGCTTAAAGTAGATCTTAGAGAGTGTGCTAATTCATATGATCGTGTTTCAGGAAAACTAGTATTTTAATCATATTAATTTTAAAATTGAATTTAGTAGAAAATACAAATGAGATGGGACCTTATGATTTCTCTATTTCAACAATGCTTCCTATCCTTATCCAGAGTGAGCCATCATTAGTCACACATCTACTCCATAAAGACAGTTATCTTGTTTTTAAGGTCGTGGTTCTTTATAGAGAAGCAGTCATGGAGGGTAAATGAGGATTGGTGGTTGGCTAAGAACCAATGAAATATTTGATTTTGCTTTCCGCAGACTCATCAAAGTTGTAGAGAAGTACTTGGGAGAATGTGCAGGCAAAAGTACGCTGAGGACATGGATTCAGAGGCCTGGGTAATAGGAAGGAAGAGAGCAATAGGCAAGCCAGACCCACAAGCTCAAAACAGACCTTGTAACAATGAGAAAGTCTGTTAACATAGGCAATGAACTTGCAAGGCAATCGGGATTACCATGTCTTCTTTGCTCAGTAGAAAAGGCCCAGAAGGGAAGTGACTCGACAGGATCACGTAACAACTTAGTCTTTTCAGACTAGCAAAGGCCCGAAGCTGGTCCCGATATGAACAATATGTGGGGGATGAGCATCTACTGAGCATTTGCGACGCAGCCCGAATCCTAGGTCTTTCTTCTCACTCCTAAGGCAGGTAACTGCACATTACCCAAGAAGTACTTCAGCAACTTTCATTCAAGTTTTCATCCAATTGTCGACTTGCTTTCTCCCCACAAATCCCCAGGTGTTCTATGTAAAAGGATGTCAAACTATCTACTGCCCTATTTATACTGAACATTCGCTTTTCAATTTCTTACCAGCCTTAATGTACAACTTCAGCCCCAATTTAAAGTAATGTTATATTTTATAATCGTCCCTCAAAAGATGAGGTGAAGGAGATAAAGATACATTTTTTTAAATGGAAAGGGAGAAATAGAAGATAGTTTTGTAGCTATTTATATATGCTACGTCAGTCAATTTCAATCATCATCATCATTAAAATAGTAATATTATCTGACATCACATTTATCAGGGAATTTCTGGAGATTTTTTTCCTAACATTATCAAACACTAAAATGCCCAAAATCAATTCTCTTAAGACTGTTTTCCCCGTTTTTTTCCTCAATTCCTTAAATATTGATAATTTCTCCTAGACATTTATTTTTTTAAGATAAATACCAAGACAGGAAAATAAAAACTCGACTTCTAGGTCAATTGAGCTCTTATTTAACGTCGGTGCACAAAAACTAAAACTAAAAGTAACAAGGATGAAGAACACTCACTCTAAGGAGGTTTTCATCACCTTTCACTGTAAAAGGAAAAAGGATTAACCACTAAATTAAGGAGGAAAACTCCATTTTTAAGCGCTGATACAAATACAATGTAAGAGTTTCTTCTTCGTTGCTAATATAGCTGTGTTCACTTAATGAGCTCAGGAAGGTCATGGTCTGCTGGAGAAAGTGGGAGGGGAGAGGAGATGAAGTCTACTACTAAAAATAACAGATGAATAAGTGATACGTAAAAAAGATGACAAGTACATTCGTGCCACACCCAATACTCTTAGAAAGATATTTTCTACCATTTAGTCATTCGATCACAGAATGTGGTCATTGGTCTATTAATAGGTTTGTCTGAAAAGGATAATTCATTTTTTCTTTTTGATGAAATAAGTTGACAAATTCCCATGTGACATTTGCCAAGCATGAAAACCTACCTTCACAGAAGAACCTATCTAGGGAGACAGACTACGCCGACGTTAACTAGTAGTCAGAACTGCCAGCTAAGGTTTAGAGAATCAGTTCTGTTTTGTTCTTTCCTCTGAAATACAATTCACGGGCCATAAAATTCATTCAGTTTCACAATAAATATACTTCCCATCAAATCGAGCCGAAAAACCCAAGTTATGAGAACAAGCAAATTAAGGTTTAATTTCTACTTTACACAAAACCATTGGTTAATTAGCAAGTAAAGCACAATCTGATTCACAAAAGTCACCAAGAGGCATAGAGCCCGTTGGTTAGGAGGACAGACTCGTGTTCAAGTGCCAGCTCTGCCACTTGCCAGCCGTGTGACACTGACCTCTCTCAGGTCTATTCCCTCACCCACCAAATGCGCGACACGGGCCAAGAGCTGGTAGGAGTGAGGTGGGGCCTCATGCAGAGAAGAACTCAAAGTGCCCAAGGGGAAAGGAGATATAGATACATTCACGTGTGAACTCAAAGAACCAGGGGTACAGAGATGGAAAAGTTACGGATCTTTGAGGAGCTCATACTCCACAGCAGCAGCGACCCTACACACAAGGAGATAATTATGAAACGACATGGTGAGAACAGTGACAGAGACCCTGTACCCGACAGAGTGGGTGGGAGGGGAGTCGAGGGCAGCCCCTTGGAAGAAGTAACCCCTAAACACCCTGCATCACAGAGAAGGAGAGGTGAGCTCCATGACGGAGGGGAGGGGCCCGCCTGTACGCTGGCCTGCGTGGGTCTTCTCTGCCCGAGGAAAAACCCAAAGAAGGAGCTGGGACCTACAGAAAGTCTGGTGCTGCCGGAGGAAGGTCGAGGTGGGAACAGGTTATCAGGGACTGCATCTTATCAGCGATGGGGGCCACTAAAGGACTTTTAAACCAGGTAATCGCACGATCAGATTTACTTTGGGGATGCCTTGTGGGGGAGATGCATTTGAGGAAGGGAAAACTGGCAGCCTCCACGGTGGTACAGGGAAGAGGGAGGACGGCCCCAGTCACCTGACCTCTCTCCCCACCAGCACCTCGTGTGCCTGAAAGATCACACGGCCAGGAGGCTCCGCATGGTCCCAGAGCTCCCTGCCTTTGCTCATGCTGACCCTTGGCCTGGAACGTCCTTCTCCGTTCCTCTGCTGATTAACTCCTTCTCATTCTCCAAGAAGCAATTCAGTCATCCCTCCTCCAGGGGGTCTCCCAGGACTACGCAGGAGGCTAAACTTCTCGTTTGTCCTCCACATACATCATTTGCTCTGAATTTATCATTTGATCATATTACACACTCAACTGCCTGTCACCCTGCGAGTGGGAGAGCAGCCTGAGGGCAAAGGCAGCATCTTCTCTGAATCCCCGGTCTGTACACACTTGCCCGGCCCAGAGTATACACTTCATAAGTGCGCAGTGAACTAAACTGAAGGTTAATCTCTTGCCCCAAATACTCCCACCGCCTGCGGAATGAAGCCCACATCTTGGCCCAGCACCTGCGTTATCTGACCTTGTCCCCCCCAAACCCCTTCCCAAACACTTCTCTCTCCAAGGCTTATTCTCCAAGTTGTCCCCACCTCCCCGCACACCCCTTTTCACATTTTCTTCACTGCTTTGTTCACTTTGTGCCCTTCACTATTTCCAATTGTCTAAATTCGATCCCTCCTCCTTGTGATTCCGAGACTTTCTGAAAATGGAGCCCACGTTTCACAGAACCCAGAGCGGTCCGAAGCCCACCGGCTGAGGCTCTGCTCCTCTCGCTGCGTCTCCTCCCTGTCCCAAGTGCCTCCTCCCGCTCTGGCCTCCTTAGCCACAGGAAGTGAGAAAGGCACAGAGTGAGTCATGGTGGGAGAAAGGACGGGGGCCAAGATATCCAGGAGGACGCCACGACCGCCTAAGGGTGGTGAAGCTTTGTCCCTGCTGTCTGCTTGTTTAAAAAAATAAATGGAAAGGAAAATAAAGTACTAACTGGACTTAATTTACAGCTCTTCCTCCCTCAGAACTTCAAAAGGCCTCTGACATGCGGACGGGCTGCACAGTCGGCTCCACGCTGGACACGCTCGGATGAAAGTTGCGTCATCCTGCCCCACGGGGACCCCAAAGCCCTTAAGACAGGACCATATGATGGGCCTTTTTAAAGCAAAACATGTCATCACACACGAGTATGAAGTTCAGCCGTTATTATTGTCTTTTTATTTGGAAAAGCCACTGACAGTGATCTTTTCCACCCAAGTACTTCAAAGAAAACCTGTTCCAGAGACTTTATCTTGCATGATGTAATGTACCCTGTAAGTTCAGATATTATTAGGCTATAAATGACTTTATCTGAGGTTCTCGAGGTCTTTGGGGAAAAGAGTTACATTAAAATAAATATTTTCTCTCATGTAAAAAAAATATAGTGAAATTGAGATTTTTAAATGGTAAGTGGATAAAGCCAACTGCTCTTTTAAAGTTTTTAAAAGGTAGTTTAGAGAAAACTATACTTACGGGATATTTGGGAGGTCGTGTTCTTATTAGTCTTGATTTGTCAATACATTTGTCTCCGTGGCTTCACATAACATTCTCTAGTAAAAGATCATCTCATAAAAGAAATTCTAGCATGTGCTTGTTCCCCCTTAACATTTCATATATTTTGTGTCTGCAAGAGCAAACAGCTCGCTTTGCAACCATCTGGCAAATGAGTTAAAGACAGTGGGCACAGCAAATATAAATCATGTTACCCATTGCAAAGCCTTCTGGGAAAACATGACTAAATCACAGCCTTAAAATTTTCAATATGGGAGTATTTGAGATCTTGCTCCCCGGCATATGTCATCGATTTGGCTCAAATCAATTCGCATAAAAATTCTCTACAGTTTTGGACATTTCAAAAAAAACTGTACCAATATGGTGAGGAGAATATTTTCAGGTGGAATTTCTGAAGATCAATCCAAATTGTTTCTTACCAAAAATTTACAAGTATAATATGAGATGGTGTGTGCATGGAAGAGAAGAACCGAAATGAAAAATTAATAGTATTAGGACAGTGTACCTAACATCACTAATGTCATGATTCTGTCAAAGAACATAAAATGAGCCACAAGTAATTAATAATTACCCTACTTCTTTAGAAGAGCTTCTTGTCAGGCACCCAATGACCATCCCAGACCTCTGCATTTGTCTAGGGATTTGTGTGAAAGGAATTCCCCCCTCGCAATCAGAGAATAACACTAATTGTAACGTTATAAATTAAGCATTTATCGACTATGGGCAAGAGCACAAAATTACATTAAAGGAAAATTTTAAATTTCTAAAAATGTTGGCTTCGATTTCATATGGCCATAAAGAGAGAAGGGAGAGGC